TCGTCTCAGAGTTTTCTGTTTGGGCAGGAGCCCGAGGGGCCTGAAAAGCTGAAAACAGCAGTGGCGCTGGGCGCCCCCATCACGAAGTCATGTGGTGGGCATAGCAGGCTGTGCGTGCAGGAGGCAGAATGCCACGCCTGCCTGCAAGGGCCGGTCACCCACCTCCTTCCTTCAAAAGGTGGCAAGAGAGAGAAAGTTTCTTCAGAGGAGTTGAGCTGGGCTGTAGGGGTTCCCACACACCTCCACGGTATGTGGGCTCTGTCGCTTGACCTCAAGCTGCGTGAAGAAACTTCAAAAGCGTTAACACGGGGCACCTGGGTGGCTCCCGCGGTTGAGCGTCTGACTCTTGATTTCAGCTCAGGTCATGATCTCATGGTTCGTGGGATCAAGTCCTGTGTTGGGCTCTGCACTGACAGCACAGAGCCTGCTTAGGATTCTCTCTCTCCCTCTCTCTGTGCCCCTCTCCACTCTCTATCTCTCTCTCTCACACACACACATGTAAATAAACATTTGAAAAAAAAATGTTTAAGTGTTAACACGGAGCATTTAGGAGTCATAGGGATTGGCGTCTACACCTACCCGGGGAGAGACTAAGGATGAAAGGCCGTGATTCATCCTCCCTGCCTGGTGGCCCAGCACTGGAGCAAGGTTTACTTCCACAGGTAGCTGGCAAAGGTAAGTGGGGTTTTGTGGTTGCTGTTTGCGGGGAAGAGCCAGCCAAAGGTCCCATCCAAGAGGATCCTCAAGATATTAATTATTCTAGCTTCATCTTAAATCTTTGTATCCAGTGAATATCCTCCCCAGTTTGTGCTTCTTCAGGGAGGCCTTGGTGGTCCCTTGATCTTCTATTGAAAACTTACTTCAGTTTGTGATACACCAATGGAAATTCCATTCGGAATTGTTACAGATCAATTTGGGGAACATTATCTCCCTTATGATATTCAATTATCCTATCCATAAACATGGTATGTATTTTCATTTACTTAGGTATTTTTTAAAGACCTAACAAAATTGACAAACCCCTAGCCAGATTTATAAAAAAGAAAAAGGAAAGGACCCAAATAAATCAGGTCACGAGTGCAAGAGGAGAGATCACAACCCACACCACAGAAATACTAGCAATAATAAGAGAATATTATGAGCAATCAGATGCCAACAAATTGCACAATCTAAAGACCTAAATGAACTTTTATATATTTCATCTGCAAGAGTCTTACATATCTGCTTCTAGATTTATCTCCCAGGTACCGTATTTCTATTTGTTTTAAATGCTATCACATATTCTGATGGCTACCTAGAAAGGCAACTTAAATTGTGTTCATTTTATATTCACAGAAACTATTAATAATTTTAATTTGCCTGTAGATCTTTTAGGCTTTCTGTATAGAATTTCATGTCTAAGTAATAACGTTCTTCCTTCATTTCATTTAATTTGTTGCTTTGTCTAGGATTGCAGTACAAAGTTTAAAAGATGCAGCTAGAGTAGGCATCCTGGTCCTGCTTCTTATTTTAAAGTGTTTCTAAAGGTTCATCATTAAGTATGAGACTTGCCATGGATTATTTAGGGAAGTGCCTTTATCAGATTTAAAAGTTCTCTTGCTTCACTGCGAATATTTATCATGAATAAATGCTAAATTGTATTGAACAACTCCTCTATATCAATTGCAAAGTTTATATGCTTTTTCTTCCTTAATTTCTGTAATCTATGAACACCATTAATTTCCCATCTAACTTAATCTTACATTCTGGGTTTACTCTAGTAAAACCTTTTCACTGTAAAACATATTCTGCCTGACATGAATATAGCTCCGTGAATGAGCTATTTGAACGAGCCTTTACAGACTATTTGCTAATAAATCTTTTCATGCTTATGCTTGTGTGTCCTGATGTTTCAGTTAAAAAGCATGTCACTGTTTTTTATTTATGTTTAAGCCATTCTGACAATCTGTCCAAACCAAGTTTAGAATATACACACACACCTGCGCGCGCGCGCGCGCACACACACACACACACACACACATGCACATATACGTATAGATGGTAAGTACTAAAATATTTGAATTTATTATACTCTTTTTGTGCTTTCTGGAAGTTGTTTTTTCCAAGTTATTTTTTTCCCCTCTGTTTACCATCTTTAACAATGATTGTAATTTGCCTTAATTTTCTTTCTCTACATGTGTAGAAGTTACATGCGCTATGTATCCCTCTTGGTTTTTAAGAAACTGTCTCTGGAAGTTCTCTAAGACCTGAATAAAGAGGGTTTTTTTTTCTTCCAAGAGCATTTGTATTTACTTAAGCCAAATGGCAGGAGGTTCCCCCAAATCATTACTACCTCAAACTCAATGAATTCTCTTCTTGTGGTCCTTTGGATCTTGCACTCAGTGTAAATTCTCACTCTAAACCCATGCGAAGCCCAGATTGCAGTTAAAAATTCTCAAGGGACACTTTATTTAAGGTTAGGTGTTGTTGCTGTTGTATTCCTGAATCTAGAGCCAAGACTGTTGCAAGGAAGTTTCTTTTTTGTGGGATTGACTGTGTGGACAATCCTTGATCCCCTAAAGGCCCATCTTTTGTTTACTTCTTGTTGGCTTGCTTGTTTAAACCTATTTATCACCGTTTCCCATTCTCACCCCCTTCCCTGATACGGCCAACCATTCTCATATGTCTGATGGATATACTCAGTTGAATAGTTACCCCACCAAAAAATTCCTGTCCACCCAGACCTTATTTGAAAACAGGCTCTTTGCAGCTATAATCAAGTCACAGTCAGGTCATCCTAGATCATAGTTGGTCTTAAATCCAACATGACCAGTGTCCTTATAAGAAGAGAGAAATGTGGACACAGTTAGAAAGACACGGACACACACAGAAAGAAGACAAAGGCAGAGACCGGAGCGATGTGTCCACAAGCCAAAGAACACCAAAGATTGCCAACCACCACCAGAAGCAAGGAGAGAGTCATGGAATAGATTCTTCCTCAGAGTCTCCAGAACAACCATACTGACACTTTGATTTCAGACTTCCGGCCTCTAGAACAGCAAGAGAATAAATTCCTCTTGTTTTAGACCACTCAGTCTGTGATACTTTCTAGCACCCCCAGAAACCTCATACAAGCCCTTACCATTTGTTTTCTTGCAAAACATGAATTGCTGTCTACGACTATAATCTCAAGTTACACAAATAAGATTGTGATGGGGTCACTTCTGCTTCCTTCGCATTTCTCCTGGCACTTTCTTTATGACAGACCCATGGCATATGTACATCCGCTAACGTGTATTCACATGATCCCAATCCACCCACAGTGAGGGGCGCCTGGAAGGCTCCCACCACCTATTTCCACCACGGCTTGGGATAAGCAAGTAGACATGGGTCAAATGACTGTGTGACAATTTCTTGAGTAGGATTGCTAGGTCAGAAGGACCATGTATATTTTTTTTTAAATTTTTCAACGTTTTTTACTTATTTTGGGACGGAGAGAGACAGAGCATGAACGGGGGAGGGGCAGAGAGAGAGGGAGACACAGAATCGGAAACAGGCTCCAGGCTCCGAGCCATCCGCCCAGAGCCCGACGCGGGGCTTGAACTCACGGACCGCGAGATCGTGACCTGGCTGAAGTCGGACGCTTAACCGACTGCGCCACCCAGGCGCCCCGGACCATGTATATTTAACCGAAAGCACAACTAGTAGATTGCTTCCCAGAATGGCTGTACTTTTCTCACTGCCAGCAAGGGTTTCCTCGGTCCTCACAGCCCTCCACCACTTGTCATTACATGGCTCTCTACACTTGCCAATGGTACGTATAAAGTAATGTTACATTTTTACTTGTATTTCTCTGATTAATAGAGTTCAAGCAACTATTCATATGCCTGTTGGTTTTTTTTTTTTTTTAACATAAATTACCTGTTTGTGTCCTCTGCCCATTTTTTTTACTGTTGGGATCCTGTCTTATTACACGGAGCCCACCCAATGTGGGGCTCAAATTCATGAACCGCAAGATCATGACCAGAGCTGAAATCAAGAGTCAGATGCTTAACCAACTGAACCACCCAGGCACCCCAAGACATAACAATACTTTCTAAAACAAGTGATTTAGTGAGGAGAGAAGCATTGTGTTTTCATTTTTGCCAATTTTTTTCAATGTGTCCCTTAGTAAATGACAATCAGATACTGCATTCTGCTGGTTGTACTGCATTGTTTGGGTTAAAGTATATGAAGATACACAGTCGGGAAAGAAAGGAGTATTTTAATAGCCTCTGTTGATAATTTTAGATATTCTTCTTTAATAATACACTACAACTCATACATGGTAGTTTCCTAAGGGCTATTTGCAACGCGGAATCCAAAATTATATCAATGAGCTTTCTGCATACTGTTCAGTAAAATCTCACTGGACTATCTTGCACTTTCAATGGATCTTTATCCACGTATGGTTTTGTAGCACTGTTCGTTGATCATTTGGGAAATATTAATTCACAGAGCTGAACAGATCTTCTGTATGTTGACATATATCTTTACACGGTATCAAAAAAAGGCACGTTTGTTAATATCACTACCAACCTCATAAGAAGAGTCTTGAAGTATCGGGAAGCTATCAAGCTTGCGATGGTGGACGTAAGTCTTCCAGAATTCTCATATTTGCTTGAAAGTTTGAATCGTTTTATCACTGACATACCGTCGGCCCTTTTCTTTGAAATGACAAGCTCGCTTTTTTCATCTCAGAGAAAGCGAGGTGGTAGGTGCTGGATTGGGGGGGGGGGGTGTGGTTTACTTTCAGCCTCAAAGACTCTGTCCTGAAGAGCTACCAAGGCCAGCAGCCGAGACAGCCTGGCCTGGAGGGGGAGGGAAGCCCCAGTTCAGACCCCTCACTCAGCAGCAGAGGACAAGCTCAGCCTGTCCTGCGACCACCTACCCGGGAGGCCTTCCGGGCCCGCAGATCCAAGAGCTGCCTGCACGGACCCCTCTCCAGCTGAAGGAACTTCTCAGAGTCTCAAGAGTCTTACCTGTGAAGCAGATAATAACAGCAGATGTCAACCACAAGTCACTGAGCACCTGTTGTCTGCCAGGCTCTAGCTCCCAGCAGCGAACCAGCCAGACAAGCTTCAGCCTGGAGGCACTTATGTTCTGGTGGTGAACACACGCGGGACCCTGTGTCGAAGATAAGGGGTAAGAAATGAGAGAATACACGGCAGACCTGGCTCACAGGGCCACCTCGTGCTACTGAAGAGACTTGAGGCATCACCTAATCTCCTGGCCCCCATCTGGTAATCCCACACTGCCAGAATCCCTGGCAGCCATGAAATGACGATCACACTGCCTTAATACCCAGTTAGCTCCTATGGAATTGTTGCAGTTAAATCAAAATACTTTTAAAAGTTCCTGCACATCCCACCATGAGTGGCCCCTGGGTCTGAGTATCACAGAAGAGTCATAAAATCCTCATCCTTCAGTATAGCTGGGACAGATCGAAGATATGAGGAATGTTATTTTAGTTTTTCAATATATGAAATTTATTGTCAAATTGGTTTCCATACAACACCCAGTGCTCATCCCAAGATATGAGGAATTTTAAACAAAACCATCTCTCTCCCTCCCTCCCCGCCCCCATTTTCTCTCTTCCTCCCCTACCCTCTCTCTCTCTCTCTCTCTTTCTCTCTCTCTCACACACACACACACACACACACACACACATACACACACACACACTTCATGCCACCATTAAGACTCCATTCTTTTAGGGTCTTCAAGGAATTCTGGTCTCCTAGGAGTGCGTTATAAAATGTAAATCACCCAGGAGGGGGTCACACCCACCGCCACCAACAGTTTACAATTGAGTTAACAATTAACTCCCTAGAAGGGGTTTATAGCTTGTAGATCTCAGAGATCTTACCAGCTCTCACCCCTGCAAACAGGGGTCCCCAAACAAATGAAGAAAGTCAGGCCTAGAACACGGAGGCGCCTTCCCCCAGAACACACAGCCACGGGCGGGAGCATCCAGTGGAGAAGCCCTAAGTCTCTCTCCGGGTCTCCAAGGCCTCCTGTTCCTTTGGGGATAATCACACGCTTCCAAAGGAGAGCAGGTGTAGTTCCCATCCGGAAGGGTTTCTTTCCCCTCCAGGCTGCAGACGCCCAGCACCATGTCTCTGAAGCGCAGGGAGTTGTTCTAGAAGCACACAGCTGGTTCCGCAGAGCTCACACCATGGCCTCCACCCTGGCTGCTGCCTCCTGGCCCAGCCCTCAGCTCAGTCTCCTTCCCCCGGGGCCATCCACCGGGCTCCCCAGTGGGGCTCCAGCAGAGGCTGCCTGTCAGCCTTCCTCCCATCTGTGCTTTACATGTGCACCTGACCCAGCTCAGGTTCAGGGCTCCTTTTCTGTCCAAAAAGGGGAATATCCAATGGCTATTGTGATGAAACGCAGGCATCTCCCTGTTAGCACCTAGGACACCCCCGACTGGGTGGCAAAAATGGAAGGAAAGATAAGACGTCTAGAAAACAAGGCAGGGAAGCGCTGAGTGTTCTTGGGGGAGACCCTGAAGCAGGCTGTCTGCGTGCCCTGGAAACTAGACAGAAGAAACAGTAACCCGCGCAGAATTTCACAAAGCCGGTAAGGATTCTGGATGGTCTTAGGTGACGTCGAAGAATGTCACAAACCCTGAAACTCCAAATGTGCTTCCAGGCGTCAGGGGTGAATACACGTGAGCCTTACCAAGTTCCTCTCAGGAATTCACCTTCGCTCTCACTGCTAGGAGCTCCTCTTGGTTGGACACTAACGATCCGCCCACATCAGAACTTTCCCAAATGGTTGCTATTTACAACAGAACGAGTTGGGGATGTTCTATTTTTTTTTTTTTCCCAGCCACCACTGTATGTGTCCGGCGTGGCTCACTCTGACCTGAAGTCGTGGGGATACAGATGTGTAAGGTGACCCTTGCCCCCCCCCCCCCCCCCCCCCCCAGTCACCCCTGCGAGCCTTCAAAGGGTTAAAGCTGGAGAAGCTTTTAAGAACAGCTGGAAACAAAGGGCTGCCCCCAGGCTGACAGCAACCAATAAAAGGTCAGGAGGTTGAGGGAATCACTTTCCATGGGAATAATTTTCTAAGAGAAATGGTAAAGTTCTTTAAATCACCAGGTGGGACATATAAAGGACAATCTTTCTTGGTTCGCGAGAAATGGATGATGTTTGACCTCGCGGATTTTCGCCTGCCTCTGATTTATATCATGAGAGCAAAACCTCGGTAATATTGAAGGATTGCTTGTGTATAATGTCTTATATATATATATTATACTTTTTTTTTTAATTTTGTGAAACAAAGCCACCTCTTTAGGGCTAAGCACGGGAGAAGGGAGAGAGGGACATAGAATACTGATACCCTTCGACACAGTAATCCCACTCTTGGGAGCGCCACCCCAAGAAATATATTCAACCAGTGAAATAAGCTTTATGTGCAAAGATGCTCGCTGCAACATTATTTATGATGGGGAAAAAAAACCCTAATGGCTCAGCAAAAGGGGGTGAGTTAGTAAATTATTGCCCATCAGCGTGAGAGAATATGGTGGGTCACTGATAAATGCAAGGTAACAACACAAGAAATGTCACCTTAAAAAAAGCAGATATAAAACAATATGCACAGGCGGATAGTGACTGTTATTCTGTATCTTGAGCACACAGAGACTAGAAAGGGCGAGGTCCTCTTTCTCTCAGTTTTATTTGATGTTATCTTCTTTTCTCTAATTAAAAATGGAAATGAGGGGCGCCTGAGTGGCTCAGTCGGTTAAGCGTCCGACTTCAGCTCAGGTCGTGATCTCACAGTTGATGAGTTCAAGCCCCGCATTGGGCTCTGCGCTGACAGCTCAGAGCATGGAACCTGCTTCCAATTCTGTGTCTCCTTCTCTCTCTGCCCCTCTCCCACTCGCATTCTGTCTTGCTCTCCCTCTCTCAAAAAATAAATAAACATTAAGAAAAATTTAACGGAAATGAAAATGTTCATAAATTATAGAAATGTGGTTTAGTATGTTCACAGAGGTGACGGTACGCCCCTGCGAACATACGAGAAACCACTAAATTGGACATTTTCAATGGGAGAATTGTATGGTAGGTGAATTATATCTCTATAAAGCTGTTCTGAAACATGTGATTTTGTTTTAAAAAATGTGAGCCACTTTCAAGGAAGAGAGAAAAAAAATTGTTTCCAATTTGACCAACAGCGCCATTCCACAGTTGGATTATACAAGGTTTTCTAATAAATTCTCAGCATAATTTATTAAGTTGGTGACAAATACGATCTTGGACCCTGTTTTAACCAAAGCACACCCAAGGTACTTAAGGAGACAAGATCCTTCCTGGTTCCCCGTGAGATGGGAGAGACACTGTTGGAAAAGAATTTCTCAAATCAAGCAGATGGAATTCAAATCACAGATCAACAGCTTAATCATAGTATTGCTCTGGGCAGCTTACTTGTCCTCTCCGAGCCTCTGTTTTCTCTTCCATAAAAGGGAGCCAATTCCACCAAGCAGACATGGGAGTTGTGAAAATTAAAATTCATCATGCGTATAAAGCATCTGAGACATAAAAGATGTCAGGAGCTGCTATATTTTTATTGGAATATAATATAGATGCACCGGGACCAAGTTCTAAAATTGCTTTGGGGGCGCCTGGATGACTCAGTCAGTTACAAGTCAACTTTTGATTTCGGCTCCAGTCGTGATCTCATGGTTTGTGGGTTTGAGGCCTGTGACAGGCTCTGTGCTAGCACTGGGGAGCCTGCTTGGGATTCTCTCTTTCTCACTCACTCTGCTCCTCCCCTGCTCTTTCTCTCTCTCTCTCTCTTGTTCGGAGGAAGGGATCCTTCCACAACAATGCCAAAAGGGTCTTCTGCCCATGACAAGCCTGGTGAGTAGCCTGCACACATCCATCTGTCAGAGCTGCATCTGTCTGAACTACCCCCTGAGGAAGCTGAGGTATTTTCTCAGAGGCTGACCACCAGCTCTGGTCACTGGTCATTCATCCTGAACAGACTGACCCAACAGCAGCCATATTTGTCCATAAGGCCCATAGCACCTCACTGGATCCCGGAAAGATGAGAAAAGCTTCACCCACAGGATCCCAAGCCAACCACTCAGTTCAGTAGACTAGAATCAGCTAGAACAGTTCCCAACAGCCATCGAGACATTCACAACAAAACTGACTTCACCCCATAGTGAATATCCTGTCACATAACAGTGATCAGAGCCTTAGGATCATGAAGTCCCCAGCTTGAATATTGTCTCTACCCCCTTAATAGCCTTGAGTCAAATCTCAGATACTCAGGTCTAAATTCAATTTGTCTCCTTTGGAAAATGGAACTTCACAGAGTCTGACCTATTGTACAGAAGATTAAATGAGACCAAACACCAACATAAACATTCTCTGGCACATTCGATGCCCAATAAGTGGTAATATTACCCTCCCCCTTCCTCATTATGCTTTAATTGATGAGCTTCTCTTCTGCTAAGATAGGCTCATCGTTGGGGCACCTGGGTGGCTCAGTCAGTTGAGCGTCCGACTTTGACTCAGGTCATGGTCTCGCGGTTTGTGACTTCAAGCCCCACATCGGGCACTGTGCTGATGGCTCAGAGCCTGGAGCTTGCTTCCAATTCTGTGTCTCCCTCTCTCTCTGCCCCTCCCCTGCTCATGCTCTGTCTCTCTCTGTCTCAAAAATAAATAAAACATTTAAAAAATTAAAGAAAAAAAAAGATAGGCTCATCCTTTTCCTCATTCTCTGTCTCCTACTTCAGGGCCCCAGCCCCACCCTCCGACCTCTTCTTCTCGAACCAACAAGCCCCAGGACATAAGCCTCCAAACATCCGTCAGCACCAACTCGGCCCACGGCATATGGCCCCACGCAACCTCGCCATGATCTCATCCAGTTGGACTGTTATTTTTATAGACTGGTATTAAGAAGCATAAGCCAGAAATTTTATATACACTGTCACGCTAGGTATTCTGAGGTCTGCAGTACAGATGGAACGTTCCTAGGATTTTATGGTGCAACACACGGCCCCCTACCCTCGTCCTCAGACCCCACACTCCTCTCTCCAGGGCCCAGAGGAAAGTGTCGAAGGGCCCCACGCTCCATCCCACCCAATCTCCTCCTCTTGTGCCAACCAAGAT